GACCAAGGGGTGAGGACGTGGGGGGGCGGGAGGGCGGGGTGAGGGGGGTGTTACATTAAGAGATGCGTTTACAAGTTAAACATTCATTTCTGGCCAGCGGAGGTGGGGCAACACACACACACACACACCCGCACACACACACACGCCCAGATCCATCCACGGACGGAGGCTGAGCTGAAGATCCGAACAAAGGTTGGTTCATCCGCATGTTCTTCTTCTTCATCTACTTTTTTTAATTATCGTAACCCAAGTTCTTTTTCACCTAACAGACGTCTGACGTCGCTTCAGTTTTACAGTTGATCGTAAAAAAAAAATATTAAAAAATTCGGACCAAAATGAACTCCGGTTCCTTTTCGCTGTGGAAAAACTGCTTGGAAGTGCAAAACCTTTAGGCACCACCGGGGGGTGTAGACCACGTCTGTATATTTTGAGCTACTCCAGTGATGTCGATATTATCGGTCCAACGTTAGGATAATTATATAATATCTGTAAGAATCGTTATCGGGAGACGTCGCTTCAGTTTTACAGTTGATCGTAAAAAAAAAAAAAACTTCGGACCAAAACAAACTCCGGTTCCTTTTCATCGTGTCGCCGTAGAAAACTGCTCGGAACTGCAAAAGTTTTAGGCACCACCAGGGGGGGCCGTAACCTGTGACCCCCTCCTCCGCATGTAGACCGTGTCTGTATATCGGTTAAGGTACTCAACCAGGTGCAACGCTAGTATCGTGTACCAAGTTCCAGACGGAGTTGAGCTACTCCAGTGATGTCTGTTGATATTATCGGTCCAATGTTAGCATAATTATGTAATATCTGTAAGAATCGTTATTGGGAGAAAAAACTTGATAACGATACCTGGGTTTCCCAAAATGGTGTGTGCCCTTAAAATAGTTCTGGGGTGAACATACCACCGTAAGTGAAAACCACTACATGGCAGCATTGCAGCTAATTTTTTTATCTATTTATTTTTTTATCGGGGGATTGTACGTAGAATGCTAGTCCCAGCAACTGTCATAAAATGGTTTGTACAGACAAATAAATAAATCGGAATCGGAAATTAAGTGTTTGGACAATATTGGCATCTACGCAAAAACTGAATATCGGACATCCCTAGCTTCTACGACAGCCTCGTACCGGTTGTTTGTTTGGCCAGATTAGAAAGCCCAGCGGGCCATATCTGGTCTACGGGCCCCCAGTTTGCCCAAGTCTGCGTTGTTGCGACGGAGTCGAATTCTGACCAGTGGTGTTTGTGTCGCTGCAGATGAACCTGGCTCTGATCCACGACCGGCTGCACATCAAGACGTTCTGGGAGAAGAGGATTAACGCCGAGGGTCAATATGCTGAAACCGAAGAGCAGAGGAGAAACAAGAGCGCCCTCCAAAAGTCAGTAACGCAATTAACAGCTCGTATTCGTGATAGTGCAAAGTTCAAACGCGGCGTTCCTTTTTAGGTTGATTCAAGTCGCGTGGGATGTGAAGAAGGGACGAACGTCCGTTAGCGTCGCTAACACTGATGCAGTTGAGGTGTGACATCACTCACGACTCATTCACAATCGTGACACCTGGTGTCAAAACCTAGACCGAATGTCACGTCATTCGCCGTCGACGTCATTGTTCAACCCGCGGAGTGGACTAAATGGGGACCGCCTAATTACGGACCCCGGGTTGGATTACACACAAGACAAGAAAACACACCTGACTCGCGTCGCAGAGAGACGGGTCATTTAAGATCGTAGCCGCCGCGGTCATCAGCTGAGGTTAATCTTCAATTTAAGAGAAAAATAATTTGAGCCAATCAGTGACGAGCTGGGGCCGCTGTGATTGCCTCGGTCGAGACGGATTGAGTCTCAACGAAGTGTTGGCTCCCAGGTTTCTGCAGCTAAACGTACGCTCTGACACTAGGTGGTGTTTTTTTCTAGTTATCGGATGTTGCGGGACGACACACACGTACGATCTTTATCGGTCACCACGTTAGGACTTTTAATTAACATCTTAATCCGATTTATCACAGGGTAGCAGTGGATTAAGCACAAACAATGAATCGCGATTAATCACGATTAATCATGTCATAAAAGACAATCGTATTGTCTCTTTTTTTTTTTTAGTTTTTTTTTCACGTCATAGCCGACTTGATTGGAGTCTGGATAGAAAAATCTATTTTAGTCCGCTCAAATTAGGTCCTCGTTAAAAAAAACAAAAACAACCAAGTCCAAGTGTCGTGACCTCATCGTCTCGTCTGCATGTGGAAAGAGCGCCACCTCAGGGTCGGCGGCTTTTCCATACGTTACAGTGGGATCTGATGGTGGGCCAGCGTAACTCCCCCCCTTCTCCCCCTTTAACCTCCCACTCTACCCATAATCCCCTGCTCATTGGTACCATGTTGATCCTAATCCCTGCATGTCTGCCCCCCCCCCCCGGGGGCCCTCTGGGCCAGATTTGTGCCGGGGCCAGAGACCAAAACAGTCTGCGGAACTGTCAGAGCAGCGATCGTACGCTGTAAGAAATCGTAACCTCCTGACAGTCGCGTCCGAGCCAGACGTCCGTCACCAACGGCCGGCTGTGTTGATGATGTCACTGACCGACCGAAAATAACTCCGTCTCCGCCACGATGTGGAGCTGGAGGCGACGAACAGTGATGCCTGACAACCACACCTAACTTCGTCTTCTTCTTCCTCTTCCTCTTCTTTTTCTTCCTCTTCTTCCTTTTCCTCTTCTTTTTCCTCTTCTTTTTCTTCCTCTTCTACTTCTTCTTCCTCTTCTTCTTCCTCTTCCTCTTCATCTTCCTCTTCTTCTTCCTCCTCCTCTTCTTCTTCTTCTTCCTCTTCCTCTTCTTCCTCCTCCTCTTCTTCCTCTTCTTCCTCTTCTTCTTCTTCTTCTTCCTCTTCTTCTTCTTTTTCTTCTTCTTCTTCCTCTTCTTCCTCTTCCTCTTCTTCTTCCTCTTCTTCTTCATCTTCTTCTTCTTCTTCTTCCTCCTCTTCTTCTTCTTCTTCCTCTTCCTCTTCTTCCTCCTCCTCTTCTTCCTCTTCTTCCTCTTCTTCTTCTTCTTCTTCTTCTTCCTCTTCTTCTTCTTCTTCCTCTTCTTCATCTTCTTCTTCTTCTTCTTCTTCTTCTTCTTCCTCTTCTTCTTCTTCTTCTTCCTCTTCTTCTTCTTCGTCTTCTTCTACCTCTTCTTCTTCCTCTTCTTCTCCTTCTTCATCCTCTTCTTCTTCTTCTTCTTCTCCTTCATCTTCTTCTTCGGTTCCATGGTGTAGCGGCTAGCACGCCTTGCCTCAGTAGCAGAGAGTCCTGGGTTCGACTCCCAGAGAAACAACAACACAAATATGGGATCAATAAAGTTCAAATTAATTGTACCACGGGGCTACCGCAGCGGGTTAGGCAACACCTGTAAACCCCAGAGACAGAGACAGGCTGTCATTGGTCTACCATGGACCA